TATGTACTTCTTCATCATACCTCTCAATAAATGTATAGCTTCCATAGTAGATCTATCATGTATGAATCCAAACTAATTTTGAGAAACATTAGTATAACGTCGTAATATATGCTCAATTACTCTATGATAATTTGATGTGTGACACATTAACTTAACTCATCTATAATTCACACATTCTTATTCATCATCTTTATTCTTAAAAGTAGGAATCAACACACTCTTTCTCCACTCATCTGATATCTTTTAAGTCTTCAAATAATATTAAAGAGTTTAATAAGCCAAGAAATTTTTTGTTCTCTAAAGCATTTTCACACTTTTATTGGAATATCATAATATCGTATTGGTTTTCCACATTTTATTTTTTTAAAGCCTCTCCAACTTTAGTTTTACTAATATGATGATAAAAATAAAAATTTTTATTTTTATTTAGAGTGTTAAGGTCACTAATGTTATATTATCACAACTTCTATTAAAAGTTTATTTAAATATATTTTCCACCTATATTGAATATTCTTTTCTAAAAAACACTTTTTAATCTTCATTTTAATGCATTTCACTTGGACTAAATTCTTACTTATTTTATCTCTTTATTTGACTAACTTATTATATAAATCACTAAAAACTAATTTCTTTGCATCACAAATTACTTTTTAAGACTACCTACGGGCCTGTCTATATCTATCCCAAATTTTTCGAACTTATATATTTTTTTCTTATATATTTTGATTTCCCTGCTAACTATATTTACTTTTAGGAGCTTTTTTGTTTGATTCTACAAGCATATATTTTGCAAGTTTTTTAATTCACTAGCTACTTTTTTCCACATAATATTAGCTTCCTTATGAACAATCAAAATCTTAAGATCTTGAATCTTATTCTAAAAATGTTTTTATTGGCATTCTTTAAATATCACTATCTAATACTAGGATAATATTTTATTTTATATTTCTTCATTTTAAAGTTCAGAACTAATAAGCAATGTTGTGTAATAAACTTTCACTCGGAATGACTTTACAATCTCAGCAATCTAATTGATATATTTTTTATAAGAAAATAGTTAATATGAGGTTTACTATGTCCATTTTTATAAGTTATGAGATACTCCTCTTTTTTCTTATAAATATTAGCAATTATAAATCATAAACTAGAACAAAATCTAATATGATTTTGCCACCTTCATTGTATTTCCAAATTCATAATCACCATGAATACTTTTAAAATTTTTGGCCACTCTACTAACATATCCATTTAAATCTCATTCAATAAAAATTCTTTTTTCAGATAATATCTTTTGTATTAATTTATCCAAGTCATTCCAATTTTTTTTTTTGAATAAATATCTAAATCTACTTGAGGAACATAAGCATTTATAACATTAATAATTTTAGCATCAACAATAATCTTTAAAGTAATAATTCTATCTTTAATTATATTAATTTTTTTAATATTATTTTTTAAACTCTTATTAATAATCATATATACACTATTTTATGTATGACTCTTATTCGAATTGTCATGATTCGGTCCAGAGAGTCGAATGAACGAGACGGAAACAGATAGTCAGACAGTTATTACACTTTTTACAATTTCGCAGAACAATAAAGTCTAACATTCCAAAAACACAGAAGTGCCACTAATAAATGATATATTTGAAACATTACTAAAACCATTTTATACCTGCTCTAGATCGTTGTCTTCTGTAGACGTATTCCTCTCTTATTTCAGCCATTTCTACTTGTCAGAAGACTTTCTTGAAATTTTTTATTTAACAACTTGAGTTTACATGATAAACTCAGTAGATAATCACATTTTAACATAATAGTTATACATAAAAAATATTGTGAATCATATGCATTTTTCTTCTTCTTTCCAATTAACATATATATAAATATATGAATTGATATAATATAAATCTTCATTATATATTTGTTAGATAACGTATTTCTTTTTCAATTAATATGCATCTATTTTTCATTTTTCATTTATTCCTTTTCTCTTTTTCATTTAGTACAAGAGCACAGTGTAAAAGTTATACCAATGAATGTACAATCATTTTCATTTCCATTTACATTTAATGTGCACAGGTATATTGCGTCCCCAACTAGTACCATAAGGGGGTGAACTCTTGTAATTTGCATACATGCACATTTTTCTTTTTAATTTACTTTTCATTCCATATTAGCATTTATTTGTTATATAAATCTATAAATATATTTTTCTCTTGTATATATATATTACTATGAACTTCAGTTATTCAGTCATTCTCAAATTTATTATATATTAACTATTTAGCTAAAACAATTATTTGAATATTTTATAACCTAGGGGTGCCAAAATCTGACTTGACCTCAAACCCGACCCGGGAAATTTCGGGTTCAGGTCAATCCGTTTGTTATACGGGTTGGGTTCGAGTTCGAGTTTTTGACATGTTTGTAAAATCAGGTCGGGTTTACCGGTAACTCGAAATCAACCCGGGTTGACCCGGGAACATGACAACATCTAGTCACATTGCATCAGCTCAGCACCTCAACCGTTAATGTCACTGTCTAGTCTCGTCTCGTCGCGTCAGCCATTAGGCTAGCTGTCTACTGTGATGCCGTCCGCATCTTAGGTGTCTAGTCGCATCACGTGAATCACCGGCTGCCACAGACCCGCAATGCCATTGCTGTCGTCCGCTTCTTAGGCAGTTAGGCGTCTCGACTCTCTCTCGACGAGACCCAGGTCGGCAGCCAAGGCCAAAGGGCAGGTCCTAGACTGCCACTCGCACTTCCTCAGCTCGTGCTGACTAGACTAACTTGCTTGCCACAGTGCCGCCTCAGCCTGAGTTGGTCTTGCATGTTGGCCCTGTTCGCATCCGGCTTCTCGGGTCAGGTCGGGTCAACCCGATAACCCTAATGGGTCGGGCCCAGGTTGGAAATTTTGACCCATTTGAAGAATTGGGTCCGGTTTGGATTGACCCGTTTAGACCCGGGTCAACTCGAGTTCGACTCGAACTCGACTCGACGAGCTATTTGTACACCCCTATTATAACCTTCAACAATACATATAACATAGAGAAAATAACTTTACCATGACTAACATAATCATCCACCTTATGCATCTAGTTATTTCTTTTCATATCTTAAACATTCAGTCAACATAATACTATGACATGCAATAATTAAAATAAATGATTATAGTTAATATAAATATTTGTAATTACCCACTTGGTCACTTTCGTGCTTCAATTTCCTTCCAATCTCAAGCTTGATATAGATTTTCAATGTTCGTTTTAGTATGAAATTCTTTCACTGTTAATAATACAACATAATATTTTAATTAATATTAAAATGTAATTTGAATGTCTCAAATATCATAAAAAAGAAAGATTAAATTTTCTTCAACCATTTCCAAAGAGGACTTTTACCTAATTGAACCTCATTAACATAACATTAAATAGCTCTAAATCATCACCAAAATTTCTATGAAATCCAAATAATTACCTCACTGCAACTTTCCTTTCTTCCTTGGAAATTTCCTTCTTTCATTGTTAGATCGAGATAAAACTTGCACCTTATTGAATTTCTTCCTATTGAAAATTAAATTGTATTTCTTCATATTTCTTCAATTAGAAAAAAAAGAATTGTATAATATTAAACTAAATCACTTACTCTTCTTTAAGAAGAAAATTCAAATTCAAAATTCTTCCTCTTTCTCCTTCAGCCTTTCTTCCTTTATCTTTACAGATGACATTTCTTGCTGCTTAGATAAAATATCACAGAATGGAAAGAATCGACAAACAAACCTTCCTTCTTCTTCTTCTTCTTCCTCTTGTTCACTGCCTCTTCTCTCAATTTTTTTTTCTTTAGCGATAATGAACGTAGAGGAGGGAGTTATTTTTCGCGAGGATTCATTTATTTTCAATCCCATATGCGATTCCTCGCTCTAAAACGAAATTCGAACCCTCCAGCCCCGTCCGTTCCTGCGTGCGGCCCGCCTGGCCTGAGGTTGTGCTCCCGCTCCACTCGCCTGTTTGCATTAAATAAGTTGGCCTATTCAATTGAACCGGTCAAATTGAATTGGTTCTTACACGAATACAATAGTTTAAATCCTAAATTATCAATCACCTTAATTTTTTTCCCTACCAATTTAGTTTCCTGAATACATAGACTATTTATCATCATATGAATCATAATATCTATTAATTCCATTAATATGCTCGTAAGGGTACCTATATTTTAAGTTTCTATTATAATTCTAGTTTCATGGATTAACTTCTTTGCCCACATCCATTCATAATATACAAACCATGCTAATTTAACACCGCATATGGGCTCCGGTGCAATAGCCTTTGCATATTTTTTGTTGTATTAAAGATATGTAGTGTGACTCTTACAGGAAACACCATAGTATTAACACAATATATTAAATGATTCATGTTATGATTGTTCGACAAGTTTTACACTGACTATCAGTTATTTAACACAATTATCTACTTTTCTCATTTAATGCAGGAGACCTGGTAACAAAAGTGTTTTGATTAAATCTAAAAAGCATTCATAAAAAAACTCAGTTAATTATTAATATTATTCTCAACTCTTTTAAATTTTTATTTGGGCTTTTACAACAATGATGAAGATGAAAATGGCATTCATAAAGAGTCTCCTTTTATTTTAAAAAGGAAATTGAGGAATAAGAGTGTGAGGGGGTCTGCTCATTGACCCGTTTTTGCCTCCTGAAAATTTTATTTTATGACACAAATTGTATACGAAAAGAGCAATCCTTTCCATCATCTACAATTTTCTGGTGCCTTAAATTAGTTGAGAAACCATTATTTCTACACGTTTTATAAATAGCAGTCATTGCTCATATGTTTGTAGTTTTTTTTTTTTGTCTATTTTGCCAGAAATCATTAATAGGTTTCTACCAAATCTTTGCTCTCACATGTCATAATCCTGCCAACTCTGTTATTGTATACTTCTAGCAGTCCCGTTGATTGTCCTTTATTTCTGTTACTTCAGATTCGTGGGAGTAAACTTCATAACAAAGTCAGGTACATGACTGCTATGTCTTAATGGTTAATGTATGCTTGAAGCATATTGACAATAAGCACTTCTAATTATTTATAACTAACTTGGTTTTGTCTCCAGAGTTGCTTTGATTGTTGTATTTTTACTAAAAAGCCTCCCACCAATATAAATTTAACTATTCCTTCTTAGGAATTTTTTCTTTCCATTGAGATAGCTACTATTTCTTTTAAAATTTTGTATGAAGTTTTTTTATCCTTTATGGTATTAACGCAACACACTTCAGTTTGAAAGCATAATTTGTAGTTTTTCTACTATTCTTGGTTAGGCCAATAAAGTTTACTCTGCTGTAAATTGACCCATCTACTTGTCATCTATGGTTTCGAAATCAATTCCCTACTCCCTGTCTTAGTGTATTGTACGCTTATGTTTGAGTTGTCATTACACGTTGATCTGTTACTTTTTAGTAATTTAACTGGTTTCTTTTTTCTCTGACATTAATTTCATTGTTGTACTATAACTTCTTTTAAATCTTTAATTCTCTAAACATGCACTGTGAATATATATTCAACCATGGTACCACATTCTCACATCTATGACTTTTTTTCATTGTTTTATTTGAACATGTTACAACATCGGATTACTGCAGCAATTTCACGCAAATAATGTTTCAATTGTTTATATTAGTCCGGGTCCATGCTAATGAGGTCCACTTCCAACTTCTAATATTTTAAAAGTGGGCTTAAGGATTGGTCTGAAGTTGCAAGTCAGCTCATACTGTAAAGGGTCTCTGTCAAAATAGTGCTGCATGCTTATGTTTACACTCTTATCCACGAGTTTTTAACCAAATATCTTATATCTTGACATCTTGCCTGTCAATATATTTGGATACTCATTTCCAATTGAAGTCTTTGTTCGAATAATTTTTTTTTTCTTTTTATATAGTGAAGATTTGTTTTAGAAACCCAAATAATGAGGTTGTGTTCACCAATTGTGGTGGTTATCGGAGGGATCATATCCATTAGCATGCCGGATCTATTTATGATGATTCATGATTACTTTATAGGTAGTATGATAGTTACGCCGAAATTTGCTTGAAGATTATCAAGTGCTTAATTCATAGAAGCCCAAATTTTCTAAGATGGGCAGATTAATACAAAACATTGCTGTTCTTGTGCTATAGTTGGGAGTTGCAACTTGCAGCTGTCTAATGTTTATATAGTCATTGATTTTAAGGTTATTGCTACTGATTTAGGAAGGCTGGATTACAGAGTTACTTCTTTTTCGATAGTTGGAATCACCTCTCTATTTCTGTATATGCCTTTTTTGATGTGATTATGTTGGACTGGTCCAACCGGCCCAGCACTAGGGCCATCTCCTGGTTTATTCTAGGCGGACCAAGGAAACTGCCCGCCCCCTTGTGGGGCCCATGGATTGATGAAAAATTCAAATAGGAGGGGGGCAGTTTAGGAGGGAATTTATTCTGGGAGGGGCTGTTGAGTAAATATGCTTTTATTTGTATTATCTAAGTAGGAGGGAAAGGGTTAGGGTTAGGGTTATGTATGTTTTTGCTGAATTTAGGAGTTCTCTAGGTTTGCTTGGGTTCTAGCCACCGGTTAGATATTGGGATAGCCGGATCTTCCTCTCAAATTGAAGATACATTGTATCTTACTCGTTTTCTTTCACGTTTCATCGATTATTATGTTTCCCTTTTGATTTGCCAAGGAATTTCTCCAAATTTCTGCTTGTCCTTGCTGAAATTCCCAATTTTAGCCACTATTTTGGTAATTTCTGCACTTGTTCCCTAACAAATTTATTGTACATCGAAATTCTGACATTGTAGTAGGGGCCTGAATTTGTTGGCATGCGATTTTGAGCATGGTAGAAAATCTTGGTCCATGAAAACAGGCCTTTTGTTTTGTGCTCTTTAGTGATTTCAAGAATTTTCGAATGTGATTTTTTGATCTTTTGTGGTTATAACTAAAGATGCTATGGCATGCATACATCCAAATTAGTACTTAATGAGTGTTATTTTTTTTTCTCAAAATTGTATGTTAGTTGGATGCCAATTCCTAGAATGCGGGGCAAACATTGCTAAAAATTTTTGTCAGAAGTTTTCTCCTTATATTACCATTAGACATGAATCTTCTTTGGCAGCTTTTGTTTGTGTTATTTTATCTATCAAATTTGTGATTGGTTTTGTATGTATTGGAACCGACATTCATGTCAAACAAGGAAATAAGGATCCAACAAGAAAGGAAATAATGATCCTATGAATGCATGCCAAGGAAATGAAGATCTTGTTGATTCATACCAATGAATAAAATTTCGAACCTATTTGGGTTTAGCAAGCACATTAGGCAGCTCTAAATTTAAAACATTTTGATGTTTTTATGGATGCTGGTATTTTTTTTTAAGTATAGACTAGCTTCATCATTTTCTTTCTGGGTCAGTCTATATATGTCTTGAATCAAATGCTTTAAGGAATATTCCTTCATACTCGTGTTCTCCAGATTGTATTAGAGCTTTATTGCATGTATTCTAGTGCCGTAGTCTTCATTGTTGAAGGTGTCCTATCTAAGCACAAAAATTCAGTATTTTTTGTATATTCTCTTCATTGTTGCTGCATCCTTTATGAAAATGCAACTCTTCTAGCAACTGCTACATTTCTTGCAGGATTCATCGTCTTTGTTCCTTCTTTGGTTTTAGTAGCAATACTTCCTACAGTTGTTCCTTTTTGTCGTGAATCATCTCGCTGTTGATTCTTTCTTATTTTGGTCAATCATAACCTTCATTTTTGTAATTTCTCTATTGCAAATTGCTGCAACCATGACTCTCTCCTATAACAATGTTTTTCGAGAAGCAACAACAACCACTTCTCTATAGGAATCTATGGCCTTACAAATCTAAATTGTGTCACCATGACCCTTATGTTCTTAGATTTGTTTCCACCAAATATGTAATCGAGGAGGCCAATTTAGGTTTCAATATCAAGCTCACCTAATAGTCACTTAGAGGCTTGATGGATCCCCTGTTGAAAACAAATATTTTATTGTATGTTTATCATCTCAGGTAAGCCTTCATTTCCTATTTGGTGTCACGACCCAGCCCAGTTAGCTCGTGTAGACGAGACGGGAACGGAATCGGACGTTCAGAACATTTCAATCATCTAAAAATATGTATTTAAAAATCTAAAAAACTTCAATAAGGATTTAAAAGCGCCTCTAAAAATTTCCAAGCATATATTTAACATTGCAAGTCATGACAAAAGAGAGTTCATATACACAAGGTGGTTTCAAAACTAAACTATTCACGTCATGCCAAAACCACCCAAAAGAAAATCAACTATAACTACAAAAACATTAAAAGAACCTGTCAACCGGTACACGACGGCTGTATGTGAACCTTGGGTTGTCAGCCATCTCTTGTAGCAAGTCCTTCTGAAAAGTATCCAAACACGAGGGAGTGAGCTACGCTCAATAAGAATTCTCTAATCCTAACATGTTCACATGCCTTTTAAAATGAAAATTTACATTTTAAGCTGAAGGGGAAAGGCCTTAATTTCTTTTCCTACACATGCTAACTTTCATATCTTAAGAATGTTAATGTTTTATGTATGCCATATGCATGTCAGGTAATAAAAGCCATATCATATTCATATTTATACTTTATCATATACAACCGTACCAGAGTATCAGGGGTGTACTGATCAAGTACCCAAACATTTTTTTGGCCATTTATTTCTTATCCTCTTTTGCCCCAAAGGGTCATATTGTTCCCGTATTGCTCATAAGAGCCATATTTGTGCTTTCGCACCATATTTGGTATTCCGCAATCATCATGCACAAGTATTTTCATATTCTTTCCATATAAGTATAAATTCTTTCCATATAACTTCATATATCTCAAACATGAAGTAAATGTTTGACATGTATCTTAAACATGAAGTAAATGTTTGACATGTATCTTGAGCATGAAGTAAACATGACGTAAATAAACATGAAGTAACATGTATCAATTTCATTCCAGTTGCTTAAACATGAACCCTAAGATTACACTAATTTCATTCCAATTGCTTATTAAAACACTCCCCTTTCCTATATATATAAGGCATTAAAATTTAGGAATAAATCATAAAAATAATTTAAAAAATTATTATTTTTTCTCAAAATTTCAATTTCCCTTAATTAGAGACTTCCCTAAACCCGTAGGAACAACTTTTGTGAACATGCAAGCTCAAAAATCCTAGTTTAGGAAAAACCCTAATTTTTAAAATCCAAATTCTTTAAGAAAAATTGCGTTTTCCTCTATAAAATCCATTCCATTAAGTTCTTCCAACATTCCCTACAAAAATAATAAAAAAAAATTGGAACCCTAATTTCGGAACCTATGATTTTCCTTAAGAAATCTTCAAGTTTAGGGCATAAAAAGGTAGGTATAATCAAGCCCTAAAGTTTTTCTAAAGAAATCTTCAATAAAATATAAACCCTAAATTCTTGCTTCAAGAGAAACTCATGAAAAAAATCAAGGTTCTTTAAGATTAACTTACCTCCAAGCTTCTCCAAGTCTTTCTCTATCTTTTTCCTAAAGGATCTCGCCGGTCACCGCCCGCCGAGCCCAAGCCGTCGCCTCTCCTCCCTCTCTCGCGTACTTTCCCTTGCTCGGCCGAAAGAAACTAACAAGGGACCGAATGAATCGGTCCCTAGGCGGTTGTGGGCTTAAGGAATTATTCTTAGGTGGCTTATTACGCATGTACCCTCCCATTCAATATTTCTCTCAAAGCTCATGAGGGGTAGTTTGGGCACAATCTACAAATTTTACCTAAACGAATTTCAGCGATTTTTAATTTCAAATCCGTGCGAAATTGGATATAAGTTCTTTATATCGTTTCGATCGAAATTTCGTGACGAATTTAATAAAATTTATTTCATCGAATTCCGACGACTTTGAAATTTTGCCTAAGTTCGCCGCGGCGCATCGAAATGCATGCGACACACTCAAGCGATGAATTTCGGGTTTTACATTT